ATCAGATCGATGTAGAATTGATGAATGTGGCATGTGAGAGAACTTTAGAGATGTTTTGAGATAGGAGGTTGAAAATATTTACAACAGGAAACGCTAGAACAGCTGCATTTGGTCGATGGCCAAGATGTAATCCTTATTCAGGAAAATCTTGAATTACATGGTGCCAGAACATCACATAAAGAATGAAGTCACCAAAGAGAGGAGCAGACCCAAACATATTTCAAGCCTGTTGCTGTCTAATTTGATGTTCCACTTCGAATTCAGTATTAACATGTCAATTACTTATTAAAAGTTTGTTTGCAATATCAATCAGGCCTGCAACTAAAAAAAATACTCTGCTTTCTTCAAAACTAGACCAAAAATACCATTACCATAATATACAAATGCATAATATCAAACAAAACACTCTTGTTAAGTCTCCACTAATACTAACAGAAGTCATTTGGAAAATTACAGAAACAAAGAAGTTAGTAGGTCAAAGGTGCCCACCATGATAGAGAACCAAGTCAGTTTTCACAATTTTATTGTTAGCTTTAACTGCTCTGAAAACTAGATGTGTAGAAGTAAACCTGTTGTAATTAATCACTTGTGAAAAAGGTTCAACATTGTATTGTGCTATTGATGATGTTTAACTGTGTAAATTGCCAAAACAGAGAGCAAAATTGTGATTTTTAACCAGGGATCTGTTTTATGGTTTGAAGCAGAGTTCCACCTCTCATCAAGTGTTATTTGCGATGTGTTGAAGTTAATATTACTTAAAAAATCACAGATTTTACAGGTACCATGTAAAAATTCAAACTTGTAGATTTCTTCCACTCAGCTAAGCAAAATTCCAGTGCATGGATACCAAGACCACAATTGCTACAATTATTAGTTGAGTAAGGCATGACAGAAATTTGGTGACAAAGTTTTGGCCTTAACATCACAGTGTTGTCATGGACAACTTACCTCATTTCCATTGGTAACAACGTCAACAGCTGTGCATCGTCTGTTGCTCCGCTGACAATTTTGCGCACTCTGCTGCCAATGATGTCAAAGGCCAAAAAGTCACCACTGGAAACGGAGCCAGTTGCCGTAACAACCAGCTGGCGCCCATTTTATGAACCTCGTATTATCGAAGAAATTTTTGTAGAGTGCTACACCTATACGCCTTAATCACCGATCACTTTGTACTTCTTCTCTTGAGGGTACATAACCGTATATCTTGCAGGCTGGGTATAATGACAACAACACAATTTTCTTGAAAACACCTGGTGACCAAGTTTTCATCACGCCTTACTCAACTACTAATCGTAGTAGGTCTTGTCATGCAGCCTTTATGTTTTCAACTGACAATGTTAATTAAAATAGCTGTGTTATAAGCTTGAAACAAAGTCAGTCAGTGTCTGCCTTTCTTCCCCAGTACGCAGTAATGTGATTACTACCAAGCTAACTGGCAAAAATTAAAAGGTTTTGACTATTTTTAACACAATCAGAACTGCATGTATTTCAAAAATATCATCTCACCTGGTTTACACTTGGAGCAGAAATGCCATACATACATGTAGCCAATTCATCGTCATTTCCTTAAAAACCAATAATTGGATTAATCAGTCACAAAAATTAACTAAGGTTATCTTTCTAATATTGATGTTTGTAAAAATGGCTACTTTGTACATTAAATTATTAATTCTAAATTTATGAGTGTCTTAATGTATTCCAAATTTCACAATCTGAGTAATCATGTGATTACCTGTTAATAATACACTTGAAAAAAATACTATTAATTAAGGTCTTGGCTGTACACTAATTGTTTACATATAGTGGGGAGGGGGTGGGGAGAAAAGGAATTGCCTGCAGTCGATCCTAAAGATTTTACAGAACTCCATTCAGCCAGGAACAGGGAGCAATAGTACAATTTGATTGGTTGGTAACCCGTCAATCAAAAAGTGACATCAGAAATTTGACATTCAAACATAATCCGAAATCTGGAACACAACAAGATCAAAATACATATGGCTGAGTCTGGGGAATTTTCTGTTCAGGAAACGTTGAAAGACCTTTCACAAAACAGCAAACACATTGATCTAAAACC